TTCTCTTTTGAATCGTCAAACAATCCAAAGAAAGCATCATTAAAACAAAAAGAGAAGTCACTTACAAAAGATTGAATAAACACTAAAAAGTCTGACCAAAATTGTTCTGTGTAGGAGCATTGCCAAAACAAATGAATGAAGTCTTCTTCAGAAGAATGACAAAAACTGCAACTCACTTCAATGTCTGACTTTTTATTTCCTAAGAAAGGCTTTAGTTGGGTAACATTTGTGAATCAACTTGTTATTTCTAAAATGTTATTTCTTTTACTTTATTGGTAAGCAGATATCAAGGCTGCAGTGATTCTTCTGTTCAGTTCGGATTCTGTTTAGTTGAGTTTGCAGTGATTCCTGTGAGCATTATTCTGTGTAGTTTGTGTTCATGTAATTGTGTGTGTGTGTGTGTGTGTGTGTGTAGCCGTCACTACGCCGTGTGTTCCTCCCTGTCAGCATGGTGGCGTCTGCGGGCCTCTGAACACCTGTGTGTGTGTGACGGGGACGAGCGGCATACGCTGTGAGAAACTGTAAGAGAACGCACACTCACACACACTCCTCATGTTAGCGAATTAAAGAGCAGCAGCATCCTTCTCTGTTTCAGCGTGTGTCCCGTCGTGACTACGGTGGTCAGTATGGCCCGCGCCGTGCGGAAAGGCTTTCGGGAGAGTTACGTGGACCGCTGCGGACCGCTGGGAGTCCAGCTCTGTACTAAATACAGGTCGAACACACACACACACACAAATCAACAGAATCTGTCACAGTACGAGTAATGTTAAATCAGTAATAATGCTCAATGCTGCCAAAACATGTAAAAATAAATCTTTGATGCAATGTGAGCAGATCTGAATGTAATGCTATAATCGACACTTTTCGTTCACTTTCACGCTTCACTTCAAATTTAGATCCTTTTTAATTTGTAATTAAATTTAGATGAATTTTTAGCCCCGTATCTTGAATTTCTTGGTATTTTGGTGCCATTTTTATCTCAAGCCCTATTCATTTTTATGCATTTTGAGGCTCTTCTGCTCACCAAGGCTGATCAAAAATACAGTAAAAAATTGTGAAATATTATTACAATTTAAGTGAACTGTTTCCTATGTGAATATCTGTTAAACTGTAATTTATTTCTGTGATCAAATCTGTATTTTCAGCATCATTACTCCAGTCTTCAGTGTCACATGATCTTCAGAAATCATTCTAATATACTGATTTGCTGCTCAACAAACATTTCTGATTATTATCAATGTTGAAAACAGTAGTGCTGTCCAATATTTTTGTGGAAACGGTGATACATTAAATTTTTTTAGGATTCACAGATGAATAGAAAGTTCAAAAGAACAGCATTTATTTCAAATAGAAATCTTTTCTAGCATTTCAAATGTCTTTCCTGTCACTTTTGAAGAATTGGATGTGTTTTCTGTGGTTGTAGGATAAATCAGGCGCGTGTGTATCTGCAGGCGTATAGAGTGGGCTACAAAATCCAGTGTCCCGAGAAAACAGCAAGATGAACAACATCAAGTCTATTGTAATGCTCCCAAACACTTAACAGACACACTCACTCAGTGCATATTATATGATTGTGTATACTGGCTTTTGCACATTGTGCATGTGTATTGTTACAGACTAATAAAGGTATTTTGGTGACTTATTTACATGATCGTGTGATCCTCTTTGAACTGCTTTGCAAATGTTTAACCATTTATACTGAAACTACCAAAGGAAGGTGCATTGTGCATCATTTCTGCTTATATATACGTGCTATATGAAATATGCCTGAGAGTTACAGGGACTCACGGAGCACAGTAAGTTAATGCAGTCATAATTTGCATGAGAGGAGAGACACGCCGAGCTGTTTGCCGACAGACAGCATCTAAAGACATGTCTGATCTGCAGAAAATAACCAGACCACCATCAGCTGAGGAAGAGCAGGTGAATTAATACACATTAAATAGTCATGTAAACACGTTATCGTGATTTAAACTGAAAAAGAATGCAAAAAGATACAGTAAAAATCTCTTACTGTAAGATACAGGGAAATTGTATTGTGAAACTTTGTAAAAAAAAATTTGGAAAGAAAAGCTTTTTTTAGGGAAATTTTAGGTAACACTTTAGGGACTGATTTGCACTATTAACTAGTTTCTTATTAGCATGCATATTACTAGCATATTGGCTGATTATTAGTACTTATAAAGCACATATTAATGCTCATTCTGCATGACCATATTTTAGATCCCTTACTTAACTACCTTACTAACTATTAATAAGCAGCAAATTTATTGAGGGAAATGTCTTAGATAATAGTAAGACTTGGACTTGAAAATAAAGTGTGACCCAATTTTTTATTGTTTCTATCATGCATTTACAGTCAAATATTTTTTTGTTAACATTTTTTTTTTTTTTTTAAATCTCTTTGTAATCTAATAATTTTTTGTTTAAATATTGATGCTTCTTCATTTAATATTAGTTATGTACATATGGGTGTTTATGTTACATACAGTATGGATTATGCATATCAAGGCTGGAATGTGCGAAGTGTTAGATTTTGCTGTATTTGGCTGAACAATCGTTTGTGCTAGATTTCTCTAATACATAAAGTGCCATGATACATTGACCTGATGCTGACCTAATGGGATAAATATATGGGCCACTTGGGTCACACTTTTGTAAACAGAGTTTCAGTTGATTGCATCTGAGGCACAGTCACAATTTAAATGCATCTAGACATAAACAGATATTATTATTTTATACTTCTGATGACTTAGAGTTCATTTCAGTATCAACTTTTAGATGTTCATCCTAAAATCCAATTAATAATAAGTTAATAATTAATAATGATGATGATGATGATCATTTTAATATTAAAATTATAGGTAGTATTTATAATGGTAATAATAATAGTTATTCATTTATTTTATTAACTTTATCTAGTAAAATTACACACAAATGAGTCTAATAAATAAAGATTTTTGGAGTATGTATTATTATTTCGGTCTTTCTACTTTAAAATTTCACATTTAATCCAATGTGTTACTTACTCTTTGTAATTATTTGTCAAATTTCTGAGAGAGTAAATCATACACCAAATCTTTTTTGGTCCAGTAAGAGTATAGAGCAATAAACCGAATGTGAAGAGCAGCTCAGATAAAAAATACAAATAAAATAAAAAATGCATTTTTAAGTTAAAACATAGGATAGGAAAAATGCATTCTTCTTCTTCTACTTCTTCTTTAAGAATTGTATTTTGTGGAAACGTAGATTTTAAGCTTCATTAACGTCACATCTCTATTATTGCAGGGGCTGCATATGAACTTGTCCTTTAAGAAGGCTCTGGATTTGAGTTCTGGAGACTCTCATAATGCTGGAATCAAGCCGATAACCTTCGTTAGACAGGTCCGATGGGTTGTTCATTGTTGCTTAAATAAGTGATATATTGAATATATATGATCACTGACTGAATTACAAATGAGCACAATGTGACCTGCACTTTGATTTTGTGGAACAGCTCGTCCCGTTATACTCGTATGAAAGCAGGCTCTATTGACTTTCTTAATGCACGTTGCTGGTTTTATTGTGAATGTGAACACAATGGTGTCTCTGTGTGTTTGTGGGAAAATGTCAGTGCATATATAAATTTTACATTTTTTTGTGAGATTATATATATATTCATTTTATATTTTAATTTTATAATTTCTAGTTGATTTTATATTTAATGTAGTTTATACAATATACTGTATATAAATATTTTGTATAAATAGTATATATTGTTATATATTACATATTATATAAATATGTATATATGAAATATAGTAACTCGCGTTACTTGTAATGCGTTACCTCCAACACTGAGAAACACTATAGCAAAGTTAATTTCTCCGCGGGACGGAGACGTCCTGACCAGTCCAGAGCAAGTCTTCATCACTGTTGACACCCAGAGAGCTTTGATGGTACAATACAAAATCATTAATTTATCATTTATAACTTCGGCTGTGAGTGATTAGGCGCATGTTTCAATTCATAAAACCTTTTTATTGTGGAATAAAGATCTGCTGCTGATGGCCTTGATGAATGATCAAGTTAATCAGGAGTATATCTTTACCAAACCGAATGCAGGTGATGCTGCGGCTGCTGTGTCAATCAGAGGGCGTGTCTACGGTTATGATACCAGACCCCGCCCCTCACACTCTGACACGCCCCCTGGAGGGGATGGGTGTGGTTCCGGTGACCTATCAGCTGCAATAGCAGAGTGGGTGGAGCGTGGAGAGGGCGGAGCTAAACAGGCTCCGAGAGGGCGGTGCTTTCCAATGGCGATTTACATCAGTAACCCCGGCAACCCTACAGGCACGGGACAATACATACACAATATATTCATAATGATTTTGCTGGTGAGCAAACGTGCCAAAACTATAGAAGCTTATTTCTACCACGGGATAAAAAAAAAAGGTTATTGCGACTTTTTATCTCACAATTCTGACTTTTTTTCTTGCAATACTGAGTTTATATTTCACAATTTGTGCTCTTTTTTCCTCTCAATTCTGAGTTATATCTCACGATTAAGACTTTTTTTCTTGTGAATCTCAGTTTATATCTTACAATTTGGACTTTTTTTTTTTTTGTAAACCTGAATTTACATCACAATTCTGACGTTTTTCTTGCACATCTGGGTTTATATCTCACCATTAAGAGTGTTTTTCTTGTGAATCTCAGTTCATATCTCACAATTCTGACCTTTTCCTGCAGTTCAGAGTTTATATCTCACAATTTTTACTTTTTTCTCACAATTCTGAAAAAAAAAGAAGTCAGAACTGTGATATAAAATGGTGCAATTACCTTGTTTTTCACAGCAGAAACAATCTTCCATAAAACACATTATAAAACATAAAATCTTATTGAGCCGTTTTTGAAGTTCCTGGAGAAGCACTGTTTAATAACATGATTATATTTATAATTTTTGTTGTTAAATAATATGATTTATATTTAAGTATTGTTTCGTAATATGGTTATTGAATATTTAATATTATTATTTTTAATAATACATGTAATTAATTGGAATGGAATAAATTCTGTATTCCCACACAACTGCAAAGGGGCGATCAAACATTATTTAATGTGTACAATTAATATGTATTTTTTAAATGTGTGTGTGTGTGTTCAGGAGGTGGCGTCTTGGTGCCTTAATATACAAATTCACCCCCATTTCATTACAAACTTGTATGAATTTCTGTCTTCTAAGGAACACAAAAGGAGACGTTAGACAGAATGTCCAAGCTGCTCTTTTACAGTGAAAAATAATTATGTGCAAAAAGGGAAAAACATAAAAACACCATAAAAGTATCAAACATTGAACAATTTCTTTGTATGGGTTTGGAACGACACAAACTTAATTGATAGAACTAATTTTATTTATCCGACTCTGTTTAGCTTGTAATATAGTGTGAGATGCTATTATAGTTTGTATTAATATCTTAAATTATATTTCAATAGTTATTTTCTATTGTCATTTTAGTTAAAGTTTTAGTATTTTTTATTTGTTTTTATTTTTTTAAATATGTCTTTTAAAAACTTACTATAAAACTTTTAAATATGTCTATATAGTTATTTCTATTAGTTTTTATTTTAGGTTGAGTTATTTTAGTACATCTACTTAAACTAAATGAAAATAAGGAATGTTGCCATGGTAACTAGATGAAATAAAATAAGTTTAAGTTTGTTTTTTTTATATTTTATTTCAGTTAACATTTATTGTAATAAAATGTTTTTGTAATTTTATTTGTAATAAATGTTTTTTAATGGATTTAGTTTTAGTTAAATAACAACCGTTGTGTTATGCTATAAAATAACTTCTCTAACTCCAAATGTTTCTGTTTCATCTAAATATCACAAATTCCTGTAGCTCAAACAGTATCATGGCACTTGCAATGCTAAGATCATGGGTTCGATTCCCAGTGATTGCATGAACTGATGAAAAACAATGGATATTTTGAATGTAATGCAAGTCAACAAATGCATGAATGTAAATCATCACAATTACATTGTAATGGGATATATTGTGATATATTTTTTCCCAAAGGCAAACACTCAGAGACAGTGTTAATGTGTGCATTTGTGTGTGTGTGTGCAGTCTGTGAGGTTGTTGTACAGCAGGAGGTTGTTGGAGGATCAGGGTGTGTGTGTTGGGTTCAGTGGAGATCACACACATTCACGGACCTGCTGCCACTTCAGGTAGTGTGACCTTTTCAGACATGCATTACACACACACACACACACACACACACCGGAGAAACAGTCGGTGAACCACAAAAGAGCATTTAAATAAGTTTAATGAATGCACAAATTCATATACAGATGAATCTGAACTTGGGTTGTTCCTAATCCTATTATGTAGCACATTAGCTTTTTTCTTTCTTTTATCATCATAAAACAGCAGCATAAACATTCTGTTATAGTTTAGGTGTTTGATAAAATTACACAAATCAGTTTCATAATATTAATATTTAATTTAGTAATATTAACATTAGAATTCGTCAATTATAAGTAATAAAGGTGAAATGTCTGAGTATATTTCTGAAAGTCTGTTAAATGCTTTTATAGAATTAATTATGTACGCATTTCTTCTTATCAGAGGACAGAAAAACATATGTTTGAGTTATTTCACAATAAACAAATTGAAATTGTAGCCTATAGTTTGTGCAATTACATTTATTTAAATTGAACGTTAAAGTTCATATTGATCAGGTTTTATTCTGTAACTATTGTTTATTATAAATCATACACTGTCAGAATAAAATGGTTGCATTTTACGGGTGCAACTGGCAGTCCCTTATGAAAATGAACCATGGTTTTACTATACAGTGACCATAGTATTTGTAGATTTCCATGGTTACACTACAGTAAACATATTTAAATCACACGTAAATAAAAATATAATTTAATAAACTGCAATTAAGTCGTTTTGAATGTTAAATGCCTTTCAAATATAATGTTAAATGTGTATAATTTCTCTTAATAATTTAATAAGTTTAATAATTTAAAAGTTAAGTTTAGGGGTATCGGCGATACTGTCCTTTGAATGTATCGGTATCGTATCGAAAACAAAATAAGTGGTATCGCCCATCAGCTTTACGAACACGCCCCCCGTCGGCCATTGGTCGAACAATCAGATAACTCCGCCCCCGACACACGCCATTGGTCGAGTCAGCGTTGGTACGTAGATTTAGACAGGTCGCTTAAAACAAATTTTTGCATTTTAACTCTTAAAAACATACGTAAGTTTTATATGTCTTTAACAAATGTATTTTCAAAAGTGGATTGACATTACATTAATTACATTTAATAATATTTCCAAATGACATAAAACAATTTGTATAAAAGCACACTGAAATTAATGATTAACCATGCAAACTAACAACATGCAAAATGTATAGTTTCTGTTTTATATGCATTTTTATTTTGCATTTTTATCTTATCATGCATTTAAGTTTGCTCCTCTGTTTTATGTTTGTACATTTCTGTATTTGTATTGTAGTTTGCAATGGAAAACCGTGTGAATTTGAGTCAGCTTCTATTGTATGGTTCAGTATGAGTCAGCTCGGAACCGTAGACAGGTGAAGAGCTCCGGATCAATGATCAGCGCTGATGATACCACAGCTGCACGGAGATCGGTGCCGTTTCCCCGGTGTTTACTACATCTACATGCGTGTGTCATGAGATCCGGCGCGTGCAACGCGTGAGGGACGCTCGCTCTCCGCCGCATCGGTGCAGATTCTCCGTGCCGAGCACGTCATCCCGGTTCGTAACGGTTCCACGCGCTCTGGATGTTTCCGTTCGTCCGTGTGCTGCATCATCAGGGCGGGATGCGATTGACGGTCTGCGCGCTTCTGTTTCGCGTGTGTCGAGTCGGTTGATCGGTTAACGGAGTGAGGAGGAGTCTCCATCCTTCCCCCCGCTCGCGCTCTTCCGCGTCTCTACCGTGACTGTCCCTCGCCGTTAACGGGGCTGCACCGGGGGTCCCGCGGCTCTGATGGCGGCGGCGGCGGCGGCGCCCGAGCAGGAGGATGTGGACCGGCGGCCCATCAGAAGAGCCCGATCCAAGAGCGACACACCGTACCTGACCGAAACCAGGCTGTCCTACACACTACAGACAGGTGAGTGTGGGTGTACACTGCTGTACTGTGGTAAAATACCATGCTACTATCATATATACCATGGTACTGAATGATTATTGGATGGCAGCAGCATGGCACTCCAAGAGTACCATGATATTACACTGGTACCAAATGTCTAAAAACACGTGCTTTACCATATTAGTGTCCAAAATGTTAATACTGAGCGACTAACATGTAGACATGACAGTACTTAAAGAATACCATTGTATATGCATTTTGATATGGTACTAAATGATTACAATATAGCTTTCAAAAATGTCAAAAATAAAAATTTGTGCATACCATTGAGGTATTTACTCCAAAGTACTTCAAAAGAATTCCAATATTACCATGGTACATGTCTAAAAACATGTTATTACCATGGCACTGGCTCATTATACTGTGTCCAAAAACAGTAATACTATGGTACTGAGTGATTATTAGACAAATATTACAGTACGTAAAGAATACCATGGTATGTTCACGCTGATAAGTTGCCAAATACACTATATTTACATACTGCTTATTTACACTATATTTACACCAAGGTACTTCAAAGAATCCAATATTACCATTGTATATGTCCAAAAACATGGTATTACCATGGTACTGGATGATTGATATATCCATATGGTACTATTTACATGTTACTCCTAAGTACTTTGAAGAATACCATGGTAAAGTGTGCTAAAAAGAAATACTATGGCACTAAATGATTAGACATGACCCAATATCATAGTACTTAAAGAATACCATGGTACATGTGTTTTAATATGGTACCAAATGTACATGTGGCATTTTATGTACACAGAACTCCAAGCTACTTCAAAAATACCGTGGTGCAATGACATATACCATGTTATTTACCGTATTTACTCCATGCTACTTGAAAGAATCCTGAGTATTATCACGGTAAATGTCCAAAACATGGTAATACCATGGTGCTTGATGATTACTGACCGTATCCATATAGTACTATTTACATGGTGTTCCAGAATACCATGGTAATGTGTCCAAAAAAATCACAGTACTTAAGGAATACAATGGTATATGTACTTAAATATGGTAACAAATGTACATATGCCATTATATTTACATAGTACTCCAAGCTACTTCAAAAATACCATGGTGAATTGACATATACCATATTATTTACAGTATTTACTCCAAGCTACTTCGAAGAATCCCAATATTGCCATGGTAAATGTCCAAAAATGATTACCATATCTATATACTACAATATTTACTCAAATACTATAGAGAATACCATGATATTACCATGGTGTAGTGATTAACATATAGACATGAGCAAATATCTCAGTACTCAAAGAATACCATGGTAAATGCACTTTGATAAAGTACCAAACATGGTATTACCATGGCATTGGATGATTACCATACCCATACACTACAGTATTTACATGGTACTCCATAGTACTATAAAAATGACCATGGTACCGTGGTTTTCTAAGTGCTAGAGCTGCTCCGGAGGTGTGTTTTGGAGATGCAGATGTTTGTTTGTGAAGGGGAAACACACACACACACACACACACACACACACTTTGATACCGGCATATCCCTAAATACGAGTCTATAATTCGTAATAACGCTTCCTCCAGTGAGAAAGTGGTCTGGTCTGAATCGGGAGAGAAATCTGCACAATTTTAGTCATTTTAGTACTAAGTGCATGTTTTTCTAGCGTGTTATTGTGACATCACTGATTACTCCAGTGTGAGTGTGATGACGTTATAGTGGAGCGGCTGGTTTTCCCGTCACAATGAATCTTGCCAGCGCTGCAAGTGTAAAGTGTGTGTGTTGTTTCTGTTTCATCTCATTAGTGTTTTCCAACACGTTCTCACTCCCAACTCGTCACATATTGACGCTTGGTCAGGACCCCTTGGCGTCGCTCTTTGACGCTCGGGGTCCTCCATGGCTTTCAGTCGTTTGCCTTATTGTTGATGCGGTGAGTCATGCGGTTCAATGCGCTCATCTGAAGGAGGTTGAGGATCTCAAGACGTGACCTCACTAGTTCATCTGCTGGATCTTTATATTAGCGGCATTATATTTCAGATCTTCAGTTCTGTCACTCTCATCTCAGTCCAAGCCTGTATGACTGGATTAATAATACACTAAAGGAGATGTTTAGGCAGAATGGATGAGCTTTATTTTCCATGCAGTGAAAGCAGGTGGTGATTAATACTCTATTTAAGCTCTATAACTCATCTGTAGGACTCGTGCATTATATTGTGTGAGGAGCTGAGCAGAATTCAACAGCTGAACATCTCCATCACAGATCTCAAATCCTGCAGTTGCTTTTTAATAGGAATAGTTCTGCCAAAAATGAACATTTGTTAAAAATATCCTCACCCTCAGGTCATCCCAGATGTAGATGAGTTTGTTTCTTCATCAGATTTGGAGAAACTTTGACGCTCGGGGTCCTCCATGGCTTTCAGTCGTTTGCCTTATGCATCGATCAAGATGCATTTAATGGTTTGCATGCATTTGTCAAAATAGAAATCATTTTATATAAATGTATTCTTTCATAGATATTTTGGAGCACCTAACCCCACCCCTATCCTAAACCTACACACTTCTGAACAATATAAAACAGGTACAGGCAAATAAAAGTACAGTCACGGCGGATGGAGACGGTGATCGTTTTGCCTCGGAAGACTTGAAACTGTGACTAGATGCATCTGCCTGCTATATCCTGTGTTTTATATCAACAAATGCTTAGGTTTAGGGGTAGGGTTATGTGCTCATAAATGTGTAAATAGTGTAATGTAAATAAAATTGTGACTGTTTACATTGAAAAATCACACCCTAACATATATGCAATAATGGCAAAATCATTACCCAATATATAGTTTAATCATGATGATAAAATTCCCAATGCCTTTCGAGTCTGCATATTGACGCCAAAGGTTTCTTATTTGAAGCAGTGGAGGACCCTGGGTGTCAAAAAGAGTTGGGGGTGAGAATGTGTTGCAACTTTTAGGGCAGATCAGTGCTGATGCTCCTCAAACGTTCAGACCTTCAATTACATTTCAAACCATTGCATTCAAACTTTATTTGATAGATCATCTGAGTTGTGGATGTGATGTTTATTTTTAGTGGTCGACCGATATTGGTTTTTTGACAGCCGATGCCGATATCTTGGAAAGCAGGGTGGCCGATATAAAGCCGATATAATTTGTTTTTAATTTGAATTAATATTTAAGAAATTTGAAATCATTTGACAATGGATTAAAAAATAAATATGTAAAATAAACATACTTATACTTTAGATGACAAAGTATTTTAGATGTTCATTAGTCATTCAAAGATTTGTTTAAATGATATAAATGCGTATTTGCTGAATGCTGACGGCAGAAAAACTTATCGGCCGATGCCGAAATTTGAAAAATGCCAAATATCGGCCGATATATCGGTCAACCACTATTTATTTTTACATTTTACAAACTTTATGTTTGAAAATCTCATGTTAAGTCGCTCATGATCATATTCAGTGAAGTATTATTTCTATATTATTATAGTATTTATTAATATTTTGAATTAGCTGTTATATATTTGTTTTCAGTTTAATTTAAATGTAAGTTTAAATAATTTTGTTGTGTCCCTTTTTAATGTATATTTCGATTTAGCTTTAATTCATTTTTATTTTAGTTTTAGTAATTTTAGCATTTCAATTTCTACTTATTTTATGTTGCTGAGGCAACATTTCTAATTTTTATTTTAGTTTTTTAAATTTAAGTTTTTCATCGATTATTATATTAGTTTACAGATTTATTTCAATTGAATGAAAACTATTTTTAATAGTTTTAGTTTATAACAGCACTGGTCAATAAATCACAGTCATGTCCAGTCACTCAATGTTCTTTAGTAAAGTATTATTTCCTATACTATTATAGTATTTATTTTGAATTAGCTTTTATTTTTATATTTTCAGTTTATTATAACATTTTCAATTTAACTTTAGTTTTAATTTTAGTTTTTAATTTTAGTTTTAGTTTGGGTTTAAGTAATTTTGTTGTGTGCTTGTCATTTTATTTTTATTTATTTATTTTTTGTTATATTTTTATGATTTGTTGACCAGTGTTGTTATTGTTAAACTAAAACTATTCAAAATTATTATCGTTAATTGAAATAAAGCTAAAATAAAATAAAATATTAGATGAAAAACTTAAATTAAGAAACTTAAAATTAAATTAAATTAAATGAAAGCTAAATAGTAATACATTTTTGTAAAAGCACAACAAAATTAATCAAACTTACATTTAAATTAAACTGAAAATATAAATATCTATTCTATTTAGCTTTATTATTTTATGTCAGTTTTAGTTTTAGTAATTTTAGTTTCTTAAGTTTAAGTTTTTCATCTAATATTTTAATTTATTTCAGCTTTTTTTCAATTAAAAAATGTTTTTAGTTTCAGTTAAAATAACAACCCTGCTGAAGTGTTACTACAGTATATTTTGCTGTTGTTCTTGTGGTTGAATGAGCTGATGGATCAATATGCTGTGAGAGTCCAGACACAACACACACTCATCTGATACTCTCTCACACACACACACACACATACACACACACACACACACACTCATCTGATACTCTCACTCACTCACACACACTCACACTCATCTGATACTCACTCACACACACACATACACACATAGACACACACACACACACACATACACACATAGACACACACACACACACACATACACACATAGACACACACACACACACACATACACACATAGACACACACACACACACACATACACACATAGACACACACACACACACACATACACACATAGACACACACACACACACACATACACACATAGACACACACACACACACACACTCATCCGATACTCTCACACACACACACACACACACACACACATCGCCTGCAGCCTCGTCCCTACATCTTGTGTGTGTATCTGCTCAGAATGAGCCAATCACTGAACCATGTGTTAGAATGTCTG